CATTCCACGCAGCCAAGATCAAGGCGTTTTCATTCTGCCGCCTGCCATGTCAGCCGGCGGATCTCCTCCTCCTCCTCCTCGCTGCCTTTTCGCTCCTTCGGCCTCGACTCTCCTTCTGTTTACTCTCTGTTACTTCGCGGGGGGCACCTTGCTTTTTTCCTGTTCTTTTTTTTTATTAACTGGTTGGACCTTTTTTTCTGTCTCTGCCTGCCTGTTTGTCTGTCTGTCTGTCCGTCTGTCTCTCTCGAGCTCTCTCTTCCTCTCCCTGAGTGTCCATTTCCCAGCATTCCATTTATTCCCTATCTCCCCAAACACTAAACGAACCTCACTGACCTGAATTCCAGACATGGAATAGAAGTTAATCTTGGCTTAAAAAAAGATAGAGAGAGACGGAAAAAACATTCCGGGTGCAGATCCTCATTTCCCTATTTGCTCTTCCTTCAAAGTCTCAACTTTGCAATCAAGATTGGCCCTAGAAAAACCCTCAGCGCCGGCAGAAATGATGTTGCAGTATCAGCAGATTTTCAATACGCCGCCCTTACGCAACCTGGCGGAAGTAAAGGCCACGTGTTTCGGGCGTCAGAGGGCGGCGCGCGTGAGTGGCCTCCTCTGGACGACGGCGATTGCAGAACCTTCGCCGGAAACTTGGACTCCAGGCCACGGAGATTTACATATAGACGTGAAACAGAATTCAAGGGAAAGCAAGCGAAACCTATAATATAAAATGTCGATAAGGGACATGAACAAATGATGAAAAATAAGAGATTAAAAAAAAAAAAAAACATCGCTAACATTAAAAGAAAAAAAACATAAGGCATTTTCCAATATTATTCGGGGAAATCAATCTCCGATAATGAATAGTCACACATACAAAAAAAAATCTGTTTTAATGCATCAAACGAGTGCTTCTTACTGCGCTTTGATTCATCGAGAGAGACATAATGAATGTGACAGATTATTGGTGTTGAAAAATAGCTCAAATTCCGCTAATTACATACGAAGAAATGTCATCCTTGTCAAGACAATTAGGAAAAATGCAATATTCATCGGACACGATTTTAAAAAAAGTAACTGAATTTTCAGTCTAAAGAATTAGCAGCGAATATTTGATAAGATCTGACTGAAAATCACTGACGGATCATTTCGCAATCTGACATAAATTACGGTTTTCTTGCGCCATTATTTGATTTCCCATTTTCTACTGGAATAACGCGACCTTCCGTTTTCTTTCCAGTAGTTCCGTCGTTTTCTTTGGCCACAACTTCTCAGGGTCCCTGGCTTCTTCAGCGAAAAATAAAGGGAAAAGACAACGTGGTCATCAGTCCCCTCGCACTAATGAAGATAACAATCTACCTGACACTCTGCGCCAAGACTGTAAGCCTAAAAAAAGAAAAAGAAAAAAAGGACAGAAAAAAATAACAAAAGGATGAGGATAGACTCATCAAATTCCACGAACGGGAAGCACATAACCTGCCTCTCCCTGCCTTGTCTCTTTCCCCCCAGTTCCCCGTTCCCCCCTTTCCTTAGCATATTTCCCCTCTTCTCCTCTCCAGTTTCCTTCTCCTCGTTCCATAATCACCCTTCCCTCGCCAGTCCCTTAATTCTTAACCCTCTTCCCCTTACCCTTAATCCCGCAAAATTTCTCCTCCCTCTTCCCCCTTCCCCCTAATCCCTCGCCTCCCCCTCCTCACGCCCTCCCTCCCCCCCCTCCCTAATCCCTCACCTCCCTCTCCTCGAGACCTCCCTCTCCCCCTTATCCCTCGCCTCCCTCCTCCTTAGCCCCCCCGTACCATCTCCCCCTCCTCCCTGCCCCCTCCCCCGTTCCCCGTTAACCCGAGCGCATATCCCCTTACCACTTACCATCTAATGAAGCAACACGGATCCCATCTACTCTGTCAACCCGGTATCTGACGGGGCTCTGACATCCCAAAATGCGGCTGGAAGACAGATGCTAAACACACACACTATGTTTCCTCTGTAAATCCGTGCCTTTACTTGCATCAGACAAAGTGGACGTTCGTGCAGTGGAGATGGTGGCTGATAGTAAATTCTCTGTCCTTCTAAACTTGGAAATATACACACGCGCACATGCACATGCATATATATATATATACATATATATATATATATATATATATATATATATATATATATATATATATATATATATATATATATATATATATATATATACATATATATATATATATATATATATATATATATATATATATATATATATATATATATATATATATATATATATATATATATATACATGTATATATACATATATGCTGTACCATATTTATGTTGACAAATGTAGAAAAGGTATCATACCTTCGTCAGAAATATATTGTGCTTGTGAAGATATTCATTCTCATTCATACCTTTTCTACAATATATATATATATATATATATATATATATATATATATATATATATATATATATATATATATATATATATATATATATATATATATAGTATGAGTATCGACAGATTATAGGATATTTTTTTTTCTTTTTTATAAACCCTTTCTTTTGTTAGGCTCTGCAGATCCGGATTAGATGGAAGCCCGATGAAACTTCGTCGTCAGTCAAGAGGAAATCCAATGAACTTCACCATTATGCCGCCATAGGCCTATCTCCCGACACTGCTCTAACAAGACCGGGAATAACGACCTTCAAAAATAATCCTCTCGAAAATTGGCACTCGATGACAGGCCTAAATGACAGACGCACGCGGACAAATTATTCCAAACTACCCCCTCTCCCCTCCCCCCGGCCCCCCACACACTACCTACTACAGCCTCCAAGACAGGTCGGTTCCTTCCCGTCCTCCCCGGCGGTAACGCGAGCATATGCCTGGTATTGGGTTACTCGTTACTCGTTAATGAAGGAGAATTGGCAGAACCTCTTCTATCAGCAAGATAATGATCTACAGGGATGAGAACGGGGCTTGAGGTAATAGTAGGGGTAGGGTGGGGACCGGGAGGGGATGGAGAGAGAGGGAAGGGGAGAGAGGGAAAGGAGAGGGAGAGGGAAAGGGAGTGGGAGAGGGAGAGGGATATATATATATATATATATATATATATATATATATATAGAGAGAGAGAGAGAGAGAGAGAGAGAGAGAGAGAGAGAGAGAGAGAGAGAGAGAGAGAGAGAGAGAGAGAGAGAGAGTCTAATTTAGTTTAAGGTTCAATCTCTAAACCACCTAAGACACCACACACACATACACACACACAAGCAAAAATGTTTGTCATTTCCGTTATAAACATTCTAATCTTTTCCTCCTATCTCCCCTCTGTCCTTCTTTCTGACATTTCTCTCTCTTTACCTTTTTTTTCGCCCACTTTTTTCCCTCCTTCACTCCTCGTTTCCTCATTTCTCCCTGATTCCTTCCTCATCCTTCCTCTTTTCTTCATTAATGCCAATATATCCATTTTTTTCTTCTTTCTCTCACCATCTCCCCCCCCCCCTGTGCTCCCTCTTTTCCAACCGTCCCTTTTTTACTACTCACCTTTCCTTCCTCATCTTAGTCTTTCCTCCTTCCTTCTCTCTTCTCTCCAACCTCTCTCTTTCCTCTTCCTCCCTCCCTCCCCCATCCCTCCAATCTCTCCCTCCCCAATCCCTCCAACCTCTCCCTTCCCTCTCCCTTCCTCCCTCCCCCATCCCTCCAATCTCTCCCTTCCCTCTTCCTTCCTCCCTCCCCCATCCCTCCAACCTCTCCCTTCCCTCTTCCTCCCCCATCCCTCCAACCTCTCTCTTCCCTCTTCCTTCCTCCCTCCCCCATCCCTCCAATCTCTCCCTTCCCTCTTCCTTCCTCCCTCCCCCATCCCTCCAACCTCTCTCTTCCCTCTTCCTTCCTCCCTCCCCCATCCCTCCAATCTCTCCCTTCCCTCTTCCTCCCCCATCCCTTCATCCCTCCAACCTCTCCCTTCCCTCTTCCTCCCTCCCTCCCCCATCCCTCCAATCTCTCCCTCCCCAATCCCTCCAACCTCTCCCTTCCCTCTCCCTTCCTCCCTCCCCCATCCCTCCAACCTCTCTCTTCCCTCTTCCTTCCTCCCTCCCCCATCCCTCCAATCTCTCCCTTCCCTCTTCCTCCCCCATCCCTTCATCCCTCCAACCTCTCCCTTCCCTCTTCCTCCCTCCCTCCCCCATCCCTCCAATCTCTCCCTCCCCAATCCCTCCAACCTCTCCCTTCCCTCTCCCTTCCTCCCTCCCCCATCCCTCCAATCTCTCCCTTCCCTCTTCCTTCCTCCCTCCCCCATCCCTCCAACCTCTCTCTTCCCTCTTCCTTCCTCCCTCCCCCATCCCTCCAATCTCTCCCTCCCCAATCCCTCCAACCTCTCCCTTCCCTCTCCCTTCCTCCCTCCCCCATCCCTCCAATCTCTCCCTTCCCTCTTCCTTCCTCCCTCCCCCATCCCTCCAACCTCTCTCTTCCCTCTTCCTTCCTCCCTCCCCCATCCCTCCAATCTCTCCCTTCCCTCTTCCTCCCCCATCCCTCCATCCCTCCAACCTCTCCCTTCCCTCTTCCTCCCTCCCTCCCCCATCCCTCCATCCTCTCCCTTCCCTCTTCCTCCCTCCTTTTATTCCTCTCTTCCTTTCCTGGAGTTGATCTGCGCCGCGAACTCAACTGAACTCTGAACTATCCACACTTGATAACCAGCTTTAAGGTGATGATGCAACCACGCTTAGTTCTCTTTATTTGCGTGTTTGGCAGGCGTTTAGTGGTTAGATTCCTTGTGATAAAGAGCGTTTGATTTCTGTGAAGATTTTTTTTCTCGTTTTTTTGGGGGGAAAGAAAGAAAGGAAAGGTTTAGATCATATACACGCGCAAAGTTCGCTTTTATGTTCATATTGTTTTGTTTTTTTTTAAGATTTCTGCCTTTTTCCTAATCACCTTTACCTCTCGTTTCCCCCGAGCCTCGTGCCTGTATAAGGACGGGACGGGCTTCCCCCCCCCGAGACAAGAGCAGACCGCGGCCTCATACCTGATACTGGAGGGAGAAGGTTGAGCGTCTTGTTGCCCCCGCCGGCCCACTCGCACAGCGCGCACTGGTCGAACTCCCAGCCCATTTCCTCCCCCTTCTCGTCCTCGTCCTTCTGTGATTCCTGCTTCATCATCTTCCCCCCCTCCTCCTGCAGGCGCCCGATGGCCCCCTGGAGGAAGGGAGGGACGGGGGGAGGGGGCAGGGTGAGGATGAAGTCGGGGGGCGGGGGGAGAGCCGCGAACTCGTCGCACTCCATGGTGTCGGTGCACGTGTAGTTGATGTCGTACAGGTCGTCCTCGTAGGCCAGGTCGTCGTAGGAGAAGCCATCGTGGTAGGAGTTGGTGAGGACGACCTCCTCCACGCCGTCCCACCACGACTCGTCCTCCTCCCAGCTCTCCCCGGCCTCGTCGAAGCTGTCGTAGAAGTCGAGGAAGCCGCCGCCGCCGCCGCCGCCGCCGCCGCCGCCGCCGTGGCCGAGGCCGTGCGTGTGGACGAGCCCGGAGGCATACGGGTAGGAGTGGTCCGAGTATCGCGTGGGCGGCAGCGGGCGGGGAGGAGGAGCCACAGGTGGTCTTGGAGGAGGATCCCCCGGGAAGAGCGTCGAGGCCCAGGACCTCCTTTGCAGGCTCAGCAGGAGAGCCAGTCGGAGGACCTGCCCAAACATCTCCTGCGGGAAAGAGAAAGGGAAATACGGTTAGTGTATCGGGTTATCGGTAAACGTTAGCTGATATCCGAAAACAGAAATATAGGCTCCCCTCACTGCACACATACACGAAACGACTCACAAAAATAAACACAAGAAATACACATATTGCACATAAAAAAAAACGTACATGTAAAAAAAAAAAAAAAAAAAAAAAAAAAAAAAAACATGAATCAAAACATCCAATTAAGGTCTTGGAGTCTCAAAAAGTCGTTCAGGTGAAATCTTTTTGACATCAAATGTTCAAATCCTTGTAACTCAACTACTTCACTTTTAAGATCCTAGAAATGCCAAAAAGACTCTTTTTAATGCTACGAAAAAAGTAAAAGGAAAAGGCGAGAGAGTGAGAGAGAGAGAGAGAGAGAGAGAGAGAGAGAGAGAGAGAGAGAGAGAGAGAGAGAGAGAGAGAGAGAGAGAGAGAGAGAGAGAGAGAGAGAGAGAGGAGAATACGAGAAAGAAGAGAGAGAGAGAGAGAGGGAGGGAAAGAGTGATAAGAAAGAATGACAGGGATGAAACACTGGAAAACAGAGAAACTCAGAACCAGAGAAAAAGAATCACACACAAAAAAGAACCCCGCAAACATACCGAAAAAGAAACAAACAGAGAAAGAAAGAGCGGAAACCCAAGCACAGACCCACACGCCCACGAAAGCCACCAAACCAGAGGGCGTGAGGACCGACTCTCCTCCGACTGGTACTTGAGGGCGGGCGCCAAGAGCGGGCGGCAAGGGCGGGCGGCAAGGGCGGGCGGCAAGGGCGGGCGGGCGGTAAGGGCGGGCGGTAAGGGCGGGCGGCAAGGGCGGGCGGCAAGGGCGGGCGGCAAGGGCGGGCGGCAAAAGCGGGCGGCGGGACACTGAGCGGATCAGCCTGGCGAGAACTTGGGCAATAGCATCGATGTCTCACCATTACTATGTAAATTGTTAGATCGACTTGCTCGCCGTGCGTCGCCAGATACAAGAAGGGATTGCTAAATATTTCTTGTAAGACATACACACCCAACGTCTTCCTCTTAGGCGGGGGGGGGGGGGGGAGGAAGAGTAGGACGGAGAAGGAAACGACTTCTTATTTTTCTTCTTTTTTTTTTTTTCTTCTTCTTCTTTTGCTATTCTTTCTCGAACTTAAGTTATCAAAGGAATAAAATGCATAGATCGTTATGACCCTGCTCTCTCTCACTCTGAAAACTGTTTCTTGAGATGTCCTTCAAGGAAAATAAAGATGTTTTCGTGTTTTTTTTCCTTTCGCTGGTTCAGTGATGGATGTGTCACTTGCATAATGCGAGAGAGATATCAATATCTTTTCCATGTCCGTGTCTAGGAAGAGAGAGAGAGAGAGAGAGAGAGAGAGAGAGAGAGAGAGAGAGAGAGAGAGAGAGAGAGAGAGAGAGAGAGAGAGAGAGAGAGAGAGGGAGAGAGGGAGAGAGGGAGAGAGGGAGAGAGAGGGAGAGAGAGGGAGAGAGGGAGAGAGAGAGAGAGAGAGAGAGAGAGTAGAGAGAGAGAGTAGAGAGCAGAGAGAGAGAGTAGAGAGAGAGTGAGTGAGAGAGAGAGAGAGAGAGAGAGAGAGAGAGAGAGAGAGAGAGAGAGAGAGAGAGAGAGAGAGAGAGAGAGAGAGAGAGAGAGAGAGAGAGTAGAGAGTAAAGAGTAAAGAGTAAAGAATAGAGAGTAAAGAGTAAAGAGTAGAGAATAAAGAGTAAAGAGTAAAGAGTAGAGAATAAAGAGTAGAGAGTAGAAAATAAAGAGTAGAGAGTAGAGAGTAAAGAGTAGAGAGTAGAGAGAGAGAGAGAGAGAGAGAGAGAGAGAGAGAGAGAGAGAGAGAGAGAGAGAGAGAGAGAGAGAGAGAGAGAGAGAGAGAGAGAGAGAGAGAGACAGAGAGGAAGGGATAGAGATAGAGAATTAGAAACTAAATACAGAGAGAAAGAAAGTCAAAAACAGGGACAAACAGAAACAGTTTACGCGAAAGAGAAAAGACCACTAAAGAGGCAGAATGGCATAACAACGACCCTTCCCCCCCAAAAAAAAAAAAAAAATGAAAATGCTTGAATAAAAACACGGGAATATCGCCCCCTCCCTCCCCCCCTCCGCCGGCCTTTGTCTCTGAGCGAAAATAAGCCAAAATTCCTTCGGCAAAGACCTCGTTCCGAAGTTTCCATCGATTCTCTCCAAAAGCGAAATCTCTTCATATCTCAATTTCACAAATCCTTTTGATCAGTAAATTGACAGAGACCGTAATCAGCTGATATGAGACGAACAAAAACGCCCTTTTGTCCTCGATTTCTTAAGGGTCACCATCACGTTATTTACGAATGCGAATTTGACCTCTAAGGCTCTCGGGAGTTTTGGGCGAAATACTTTTGCGCAAGATGATTGATAACTTATTGCAAAAAGGGGTAGGAGGAGAGGACATGCAGTTGCAATGAAAAATGGGAGCGGAATGTCCTTTCTTTATTTTTCCTCCTATTTCCCCGTCTTAATTTCACCTCTTCTTTATTTTCGAGTATCCATGTCACTTTCCATTCCGTGGGCCATGCATCTTGTTGTCCGGGCATTTTCTTGCCGCCTTGTCTGTCTTAAAAAAGTATTCTCTTTTTTTTTTTTATCTCCCAATCTCTCTCTTACGCTATCTCTATTTGCCATTCTCTCTCTCTCTCTCTCTCTTTCTCTTCTCTCTCTCTCTCTCTCTCTCTCTCTCTCTCTCTCTCTCTCTCTCTCTCTCTCTCTCTCTCTCTCTCTCTCTCTCTCATACACGCACACATTCCTTCTCATCCTATTCCTCCTCTCTCTTTATCTCTCCCTCCCTCTTTCTCTTCCGCGTGTGTGTGAGAGAGAGAGAGAGAGAAAATGCGTGACTAAATAAACTTGGCACTGGCAAAAGCAATATAGACAAACAAGACTATATGAATAACTATATCAACAAACAAAATCATACCACAAAAAGACTTCCCAACACTACCCGCCAGCCCGCCCGCCCACGACGCCCGTCCGCCCGCCCGCAAGCCCACGACGCCCGCAAGCCCACGACGCCCGCCCGCCCGCCCCGCCCCCTCCTTTCGCACATTCCCCTGTATACGCCATAACTAGGAGTCCAGTCACGCCCAACGGAGATATGTTAATCGAGTGCCATTCCAGCCCACGGTGCCATCGGCGCGAGGGTGCCATTGTGCAGTATGCATGTAATAGCCGCTCGGGAGGTATTGATAGATAGATAGATAGATAGATAGATAGATAGATAAATAAACAGATAGATAGGAATATATGGATGGATGCATATATATATATGAATAGATAAATGAATGGATAGAGAGAGAGATGGATATACAGATAGACAGATAAAAAAATTACAAAGATAGATACAGAAACAGACATCTAAATATGAAAAAAAAATATATGAGTAAAACAACGAACAAGCAGAAAGCCATAGAAAAAAAACACAAAAATAAATGAAACGCAATACAGCTAATAAATATCCGTTGGAGAAGTTACGACTCCATACCTCTGACTTTCATCATGTTAATCTAGTGCCTGATCTTCTCAAGTGCCAGCGTTGAACCACTCGTTTCTACGTATCCACCTGAATCCACCTGAATCCACATATCCACATAAACATCAACGTCAAATGCGTATACCAGTCTTAGATTAGATCCACCATCCATCTACCTATGTATCTACAAGCGTTAAAGTGGATATATCTATCGCGCTACGTAGAGTACAGCTGTAAAGGTCTGTTTTCGCCTTGGGAGCTCTCTATTCAAACTGATTGAACTGAATTGAAAATGTTTATTTAGCTAACATGAACGTACACTTTTTAAAACAGTTTCAGTTCTCTTTCGAAAAGGCACCTCATTATTACTAAAAAATGTGAGACATGAAATACTGACCCACAAAAGTGAATTACATGCATATAATAAGTTTAAGAATGATTGAAAGAGAAGAAGAAGAAAAAAAAGAGAGAAAAGAGAAGAAAAAGCGATAGAAAAACAAAGATGAAAAAGGAAAAGACAAGTAAAAAAAAAAAACGGAAATTAAGAAACAAAAAGGAAGAAAGAAAGAAAAAAAAGAAAAAGAAAAACAAAGAATGAAAGAAAGAAGAAAAAGAAAAAAGAAAAGAAAAAATATGTATATCCTTTACACACATAAACTGGGTCATGTCAGTTTTCACACTCTATATGTCGGACAGTGACACTATTAATAATAACTATTATTATCATTATTATTATTATTATCATCATTATCATTATTATCATCATCATCATTAGTAGTAGTAGTAGTAGTATCATTATTATTGTTATTTTTATCATCAGCATTATCATTATTATTATTATTATTATTATTATTATTATTATTATCATTATTATTGTTATTATCATTATTATTATCATTATTATTATTTCTATCATTTTTATCATCAGCATTATCATCATCATCAGAATTATAATCACTGACTTTATTATCCTTACAATTACGTTATTCTCATTATAATTATTATTATCATTATTGTTGTCGCTGTCATTGTCGTTATTATTGTTTTGTTATCATTATCATCTCCATCATCATCCTCAATTGTATAACTGTCCAATCTGACCAGGATTCGGAAACATTCAATCAACATTAATATACCTGTGGCTGTTAACTTATTTGATCTGTTATCTAACTATCTAAAAACATCTCCCGCAGAAAAACGTACAATGTTTGTGTCTGGCTCCGGTAAAATATTCCGTCTACCTGAGAAAAATCGGATTTACTTACAAAGACAAAATAGCACATCAAAGTCCCCTTTAAAAAAATATAAAGACAAACTCCTCCTCGGGAAGGAAGGATAAGAAGCTTTAGACTGAGCCTTCTGTCTTCTAATCATAGGAGCGATTATCATAAACGCCTTTTTTTATATCTCCTCCTCGCCGTGTCGTCGCTTCGTGAGATGGCGGCCGAGCAACATCAAACAGGGGTACCAACTCTTTAAATGCAATCAACG